GTTGAAGCTGAGAAACTGAACCATTGCCAAAAGAGTAAGTATAGAGAAAAAAGGGACGGGGTCTGAGGACTGAATCCTGAGCTCTCCAATGCACAGAGGTCAAAGACCTGAGGACCGGAGCGCCTGGGTGGCGCAGTCGGTTAAGCGTCTGACTTCAGCCAGGTCACGATCTCGCGGTCCGTGAGTTCGAGCCCCGCGTCGGGCTCTGGGCTGATGGCTCAGAGCCTGGAGCCTGTTTCCGATTCTGTGTCTCCCTCTCTCTCTGCCCCTCCCCTGTTCATACTGTGTCTCTCTCTGTCCCAAAAATAAATAAACGTTGGGAAAAAAAATTAAAAAAAAAACAAAAAAAAAACAAAAAAAACATTAAGACCTGAGGACGAACCAGCAAATAATGGTCTGCAAAATGATGCAAACAAATTAGGGTAAATTACTCATAGAGAACATGCAATGGCTTGAACTTGGATAGCATCTTCATACCACACATTCCATTTATTCTACAGACACACATCCAAAACAGTTTCTTATTCATTTAGTATTTCCAATGCCCACCGAGAATTCATAGAGATAGGCTTTTGACAGAATGTTTATACCTTCTGAATTCTGCATTAGACCAAAAAAACTGTATTTGCTCTTGAGTTTATTAATTTCATTAAGTTATCAGACAAGAATGAGATTATTGCCTTTACTATGAAATAGGTAGAAATAAAATGTTATTAATAAGATCGCTAGAACCACAGATGCAATGACATGGGGTTCAGCTGGTAACGATTTACAAGTTTCTTTTGAGGCTAGATAAAAGAATGTACACTCTTTGAAAGAAAATGGAGAGGGAGGTGTTAGAGTAAATAAAGGAGAATGGTGCCAAAAGTATATTAGTCTAATTAGAGGGAACACTGGAGAATATTCTTAATGGGAAATTACAGTAATTGTTGTTAGGAAGCAATTGTCCTGTTGGGGCGAAAAATTTTGTGGAAATCCAATCAGCATTGCAGGAAGGAAACTGGTTAAATTATGGTGCAAGATAACAATGTGGAGTACTATTTAGCTATTAAAAACTATAAGGTAGGGGCGCTAGGTTGCTCAGTCCATTGAGCATCCAACTCTTGGTTCCAGCTCAGATCATGATCCCAGGATCGTGGGATTAAGCCCCGTGTTGGGCTCTGCACTGAATGTGGAACCTGCTTGAGAGTCTGTCTCCCTCTCTTTCTCTCTTTCTCTCTCTGCCCCTCTCCCCCACGTGCACTGGCTCTCTTTCTCTCTCCCTCGCTCTCTAAAATAAAAAATATTACAATTTAGAAGAATATTCAGTAACTCAAAAAATGTTTATAAAAACCTGAAATATATATTGTTAAGATGGAAAATATTGTTATAATATATTGTTATAATAATATATTAAGATGGAAAAAAAGCAGCTTTTAGAACCATATGTAAAACACCTCAATTTAAAAAAAATCTACATGCATAGGGGCGTCTGGGTGGCTTGATCGGTTTGGCATCCAACTTGGGCTCAGGTCATGACCTCACGGTTTGTGGGTTTAAGCCCCACGTTGGGCTCTCTGCTGTCAGCACAGAGCCACTTTAGATCCTCTCTCTCCCTCTCTCTCTGCTCCTCCCCCACTCCCACTTTTTCTCTCTCTAATATAAAATAATAAAAACATTTTAAAAATCTACATGCATAGAAAAACAACTTTGTTTTATTACTACAACTAATAAATACTTGTTTTAATACTTCAAGTGTATAACAGATGACTTTCATTTTCTTCTGGGTGCTTGTTAAAATTTTCCAAATTTTCTGCAATGAATAAGTATCTTTGTAAAAAACAAAACAAGAAACAAAAAACCTAGGAGATACTAAAAGGTCTCTGACCTCAGAGCCCAGAGAAATCAAAGCAACTTCATCTAGTGCTCTAGTCAGAAGGTAAGGGCTACTGTGTATAGCTCTATAGGAGACAGGAAGAGTCTTCCTTTGGTTGGGTTTAGTTATCATAAAACCAATATGGAGAAAAGAAGTTGAAAAAGTCTGGTTAGAAACTGACCTAAAAAAATATTAATTTAATATTAACATATTGAGAAATTGGCAAAAAAGTTTAAAATCTTAAGAGCCCATACTCAAAAGGCTCCTGGGTGGCTCAGTCAATTGAGCATCCGACTTAGGCTCAGGCTCATGGTTCATGAGTTTGAGCCCTGGATCAGTCTCACTGCTCTCAGCCTGTTAGCGTAGAGCCCGCTTTGGATCCTATGTCCCACTCTTTCTGTGCCTCTACCTCTGTTCGTGCTCTCTCTCTCAAAAAATAAATAAAACATTTTTTTAAAAGTATGTGGCAAAACATTACATATTTTATGTACTCTATCTACATTCCTAGTGGTAATGCATATTAGCATGACCCTTTTTAAAAAAAAATTTTTTTAACATTTATTTTTGAGACAGAGAGAGACAGAGCATGAACGGGGGAGGGTCAGAGAGAGAGGGAGACACAGAATCCAAAGCAGGCTCCAGGCTCTGAGCTGTCAGCATGGAGCCCGACGTGGGGCTCGAACTCACAGACCGCGAGATCATGACCTGAGCCAAAGTCGGACGCTCAACCGACTGAGCCACCCAGGCACCCCAGCATGACCCTCTTTGAAATCAATTCAGCAATACAGATGAAGAACTATAAAATGTACAATGTTCAAAATGGTATAGCCATTGTGGAAATAGTTTGGCAGTTTCTTATAAAACTAAGCATATGCTACCATTCAACCAAACAATTGCACTCATGGGCATTTACCTCAGAGAAATGAAAATTTTTATTTATTTACTTACTTATTTTTTGAGGGAGAAAGCATGAGCAGGGAAGGGGCAGAGAAAGAGGGGACAGAGGATCCGAAGTCAGCTCTGTGCTGACAGCAGTGAGCCTGATGTAGGATTTGAACCCATGAACCATGAGGTCGTGACCTGAGCTGAAGTCTGATGCTCAATTGGCTGAGCCACCCAGGTGCCCCTTAATGTGTGTGTGTGTTGTTGTTGTTGTTTTTGAAAATTTATGTTTATACAAAAACCTGTACATATGTGTTCACAGCAGCTTTATTTGTAATAGCCAAAAACCAGAAACAACCCAGATGTCCTTCAAAGAGCAAATAGTTAGGGGCACCTGGGTGACTCAGTCGTTTAAGTGTCTGACTTCAGCTCAGGTCATGATCTCACAGTTAGTGGGTTCGAGTCCCGTGTCAGGCTCTGTGCTGACAACTCAAGAGCCTGGAGCCTGCTTCAGATTCTGTCTCCCTCCCTTTCTGCCCCTCCCCTACTCATGTTCTGTCTCTCAAGAATAAAAAAAAAATTAAAAAACTTTTTTAAAAAGAGCAAATGGTTAAACAAACCATATATACTCAGCAATAGAAAGGAACGAACTAGTGATACACACAACAATTTGGGTAATCTCCAGGGAATTATGCTGAGTGAAAAAAGCCATCCCCAGAAGTCACATACCATACGATTCCATTTTTGAATGAGTTCTACTTTTGAAATAACAAAAGTATAAAAGTGAAGAACAGATCAGTGTGGGCGGAAGGTGGGAGGTGTGGCTATAAAAAGGCAACAAAAAGGGCTCCTTGGAGTGATGGAAATGTCTTATGTTTCCACTGTATCAATGTCAATATTCTGGTTGTGATATTGTACTATAGTTTTGCGGTATGTTTCTATTGGGGGAAACTTGAGACCTCTGTTATTATTTCTTAAAACCACATGTATACCTACTATCTCAATTTGTTTTTTGTTTTTGTTTTTGTTTTTGTTTTTAAAGAGTACATCTTCTTTTGGCCAGTTATCACAAGTCTGAAAAGTTGTCCTACGGAGGGGTGCCTGGGTGGCTCAATTGGTTAAGCATAGGACTCTTGATTTCAGCTCAGGTCCTGATCTCCAGCTGTGTGCTGGCAGCACAGGGCCTGACTGGGATTCTCTCTTTCTCCCTCTCCCTCTGCTTCTCCCCTGCTTCAGCTCTCTTCCTCTTAAAATAAGTAAATAAACATTAAAAAAAAAAAAAAGCTAGTCCTACGAATATAATCCAAAAGAAGAAAAAACATTAGATGCACCAGATGTTCACCACAGCATTATTTACGGGAGTGGGGGTGGGGGACAACCTAAGCGTCCAAATAGGAAAATAGGCAAATCATGACATAGCCATTGAGAATTACATCAGTTATTTGATGCAGCAACAAAGAAATGTTATTTCAAAAGGAAGGATTCAAAATTGTAGTACAATATGACAGCTCTATGAAAGGGATTGTAATATTTTACAGAAGTTTTAAAAGTAGTATTCTATGTGGAATTGTAGCAGAACTGTTTTCCTTCCCTCAAACTTTCCGCAGTATTAAGTGATTTTTACATGGTTTGGGGGTGGGGAGAAGAACAGTAAAGGCATTTTTTTATGTTAAATTACAAATGCTGGAATCATCATAAAAGTTCTTAAAATTCTTGCCTCCCAGTCGATCAACCTTCGTTTTTCAGGTTCCGGGCTTGGAACAAGAGTTCGCCACAGCTGCCCTAGCGCTGCGCCCACAGCCCCACTACAGGACCCCACCAGGAATCCAGGGAAGGGACACCCCCCAAGCGAGGGCGAGGCCGGAGCCCAGAGTACAATGACCACTCCAAGGTCATCATCGAGCCCGCAGCCGCAACTCGGCCGGACCCAGGGATCCTCAACTCTGAGTCCGGATCTCGCTCTCGGCCCCTCGCCCTGTCCGGAGCCGCGACCCCACTGCTCCCAGAGGCTCCGCCACGGCAAATCCCCATATTGGGTCGTGCTGTGCCAAGACCCCCGGACCCCGAGCTGGACGCGTCTACCCACTCGCCGCTGGCCTAGACCCCCGAACGCGGAACCGCAGGGTAACCTACACCCCTGTTCCTTTTTCGCCCTCTCAACCCAGCTTTTCCCGACTCCGGGAAGAACCGGGAAGAGAAGGCGGAGGGGAGCGAGGCGCCGCCGGATAAATACTGTGGCCCGGCCCCGCCCATCGACCTCACTTCCGCCCCGCGGCAAGATGGCGGCGCCCGGACCCTGCCACGCAGACTTCCGCCGGGCGGAGAGACTCAGGGCCGGCTGCGGGCCGCGTCGGAGGTGAAGTCGGGACGCGCCTGGTGTGGAGCCACAGCTCGGGGGCGCTGGGGTGCGTCTCAGCCTTGTGCCTGACCCGGGTCCTGGGCAGAGGGCTAGCCAAGCTAAGTGGGTGGTCCGGGGAGTCTTGCCACGTGGAAAGGGAGGGACGCACTGACTGGGGGGCGGGTGGCCACGTGGGCAGGGTTCCGCCCAGGGTCCGCGTGTCCGCCCCCTCGAGTGACTTTGCTGCCCCTTTCATCTTCTTCTCCCAGGCAACATGTCGCAAGGAAACGCCGCAGGCGAGCCGAGTGGTCCGGGAGGGCCCCGACCCCTCCTCTCTGGGGCCCGGGGGCTTATCGGGCGGAGGCCGGCCCCTCCACTTACCCCAGGTCGTCTTCCCTCCATCCGCTCCAGGGACCTCACCCTCGGAGGAGTTAAGAAGGTACCCGATGGCACCTTTCTAAAGAAACCCAACTACCTTGAATTCCAGGACCTGGGGTTCTACCGATGTTCACGTAGGGCCTGCCTTGTGCCAGGCGTGGCTTTGGGCCTAACAAATCTTGTCCCCAGACTTTGGCCAACAAATTCAAGGGAGCCTGCCCTACCTTTAAGTCTAGATACAGGGTACAAGATGTTGACATGTTTCTCAGAGATGGCTGAAGGGCCGAGAATCCTAACTAGTTCCCAAGCAACTTGAGCATTGTTTATTTACCTTTTTTATATGTTTTAGACACCTTTAAGAAACCATGGAAGCCAGCAGGCATAAATTTTGCCTGCAGTTTTAGAGTTCCGAATTGGCCGTGGATCCTAAGGGGCAAACTTTTATCTAGAGTGTAATGAATCCTAGGCACAGCATAAGAGGCTCTGTGACCTTTTCTGTTGTGTTTATGACTGTAGATACAGGAATACCCCTGAAATTGGGGGGTGGGGTGGATAACAAGCATAAAGCAGCCAGTGTTTGAAGACTTGTTTGCATTGGGAAATGCTGGTGGCAGTCTAAGGCTATCATCCATTTGTGAGTGCTGGCCTACTTGCTACTTGAGCCTTGCTGCTAGACCTCTTTCCTGTGATACTCAATGGTTTCTATAGCTGTTTGAGGACAAGAAGTGAGATTAGATAAATAAGTTTTAGAAATCCCGAGGGCTCTCTTTTCAGAGGGCAGAAGCTGAGACTGCTAGCTTAATGGTTTTTGGTATCCTGTTCCGTAAGCCCACTGTTACCATGACATGCTGTTCTTCCCTCTTAAGTACACGTATGTCTCTGTAAATCACTGGCAACAGTGTGGAATGTAGAGTGGTAGTCTTGGTCCATACAAGATGCCCTTTAAGAGTTGTCATTTTTCTCTGTACTTTGGAATCAGAACTTACCAAATCAGTGACTTCCATATTTTACTTTCAGAAAACCTTCACCCCAAATATCATCAGTCGGAAAATCAAGGAAGAGTAAGTAGCTGGGCCTTCTAAAAACTTTCCCCTTATTTACTTGCTCTGAATTTCGGTCTTTTGGGAAATAACTAGGTATGTTATTTCCTCAGACATCTAAGTGTGCATATTTAGTTTTTTTCACTAGTGATTTTCAACCCTGGCTCCAGGTGATTCTAATGTGCAAATTTTAAAAAAATATCGATGCCTAGAAATCCATTTCTAGAAATGGTGATTTAACTTTTTTGCAATGCAACAGTGATTATTTACAGCTGGAGTTGAGAGCCATTAGTTTAGACAAAGATGTATCAGGTTTTCACTTATGTTCTTTTGTATTACAACCTTTTGCTTTCAGGCAATTGTAAAAAGTCCACATTGAGGGCAGTCTCTGTAATTCAGCGTTTGAGTTATAATTCTAATACAGTTCTTCTCAAGCAAGAAGGCAAAGCAAAGCAAACTGAAAGGACGCTGCCCCATCAGGTAGAAAAGGTGCTAGCTAAACTTAGTGTTGGGTTCTGTTTCTGATACAGTTACTGGCTCTCTACTTATCCACTCAGGTGGAGGAGCAGAGTGGTGTGAGGAAGTAAGACCAATTCTTTGAGGTGGAGTGAATGAGTGGTTTTCCTTAATCCATTTTCTTTTCTAGGCCCAAGGAAGAAGTAACCATCAAGAAGGAGAAGCGTGACAGGGATAGAGACCGGCAGCGAGAGGGGCATGGACGGGGGCGGGGCCGCCCAGAAGTGATCCAGTCCCACTCCATCTTTGAGCAGGGCCCAGCTGAAATGATGAAGAAAAAGGGTACCAAGCTGCTGGGGTTCCGGGAGGAAGGAATCAGTGGATTTCAGTTCAGACTGCCTGAGAGAAGGGCAAGGGCAGTAAAATTACCTTGCTCCCAGTTTAGTTTTCCTTGCTGTTGGCCTCTTCCGTACCCTTGGTGAACTGAGTGATTTCCTACAGGAAACTGGGATAAGACAGTGGATGTGTCAGACATGGGGCCCTCTCATATCATCAACATCAAAAAAGAGAAGAGGGAGACAGATGAAGAAACGAAACAGATCCTGCGCATGCTGGAGAAGGATGATGTAGGTACCGGCAGACTGGGAGGAATGGGATTCTGGGGGGCCGAGCTTGGTGGCAGAACTCTCTGATGTCCTGGAAGCCTGTGAGCAGGAGGAATCTTCAGTTAGAAAAGGCTGAGGTGGGCTGCAGTCCACCTGTGTGTATGCTAGCCAGACCACGTGACCCCCTGTCTCTTCTCTGGTAGTTCATCGATGACCCTGGGCTGAGGAATGACACTCGAAACATGCCTGTTCAGCTGCCGCTGGCTCACTCAGGATGGCTTTTCAAGGAAGAGAATGAAGAACCAGATGTTAAGCCTTGGCTGGGTGGCCCCAAGGAAGAGGACATGGAGGTGGATATACCTGCTGTGAGAGGTACTCTGTGTCCATTAACGTCTCATCTCCTTTCCTGTGGATGCCCCTCCCTCACCTGAATCCTCCCTAGGAATGAACCTCCCAGACTAATAAGCAGATCCCCCTCCCCCACGTTCTAGCTGTAAAATACATGACCTTACAGAGACTGTAAGTTCTCACTCGCAGAGGGTTCATGCTGCCATGGATCTGTGGGTCAGCCTCAGATAATCCTTTTTAGGTAAGTCATACAACTCCTGGGTCCTTCTTCATAACCATAACCCTCCAGCTTCCTAGCTGAGTGACAGTGAAGCAGACAAGGATGAAGGGATGGGTACAATGAGAGGACGTAGAGGGTGGCCACTTGATAGCTCTTCCATTTGTTATCTTGGGCAGTGAAAGAGGAGCCCCGGGATGAGGAGGAGGAGGCCAAGATGAAGGTTCCTCCCAGAACAGCCAGAAAGACCCCAAGCCTTCCAAAGGACGTATCTGTGGCAGAGCTGCTCAGGGAGCTGAGCCTCACCCAGGATGAAGAGTTGCTGTTTCTTCAGCTGCCAGACACACTCCCTGGTCAGCCGCCTACCCAGGACATCAAGCCTATCAAGACCGAAGTGCAGAGCGAGGATGGACAGATGGTGGTTATAAAGCAGGAGAAAGACCGGGTATGCTCAGGAGTGAGTTCTGTGAAAATGCGGGGGGACCAGGAAGGGAAACAGCAACCTGTTGGGGAAGCAAAAGTGTGCCACCCAAGCTGAAATGCCAAAATAATACACATTTGTTCTTTCTACCCATGAGGGGCTTGGGGCTTTGTACTTCAACCCCAATTACACGTGTTTACTTTTTACAATGAAATATTTTAAACATGTACAAATGAGAAAATGTCAGCAATTATGAATATTTTGTCCATTCGTTCATCTGTTTGCTTTGGGTTTTGTCGTTCGGCCAACGACAGGCAGCCTTGGGAAAAGGCCTTCTTGAGGAGCTCATTCTAACCTTTGCTGCTGCTGCCTTCCTTTAGAAAAGGTTTCATCCATGAAGGGTGGAGGAAGCGGCTCCTTACCCAGCGTCCATCTCCTGATTCTCTCCACAGGAAGCCAGGCTGGCAGAGAATGCTTGTACCCTGGCTGACCTGACAGAGGGTCAGGTTGGCAAGCTGCTCATCCGCAAGTCAGGGAAGGTGCAGCTCCTCCTGGGCAAGGTGACTCTAGATGTAACGATGGGAACCACCTGCTCCTTTCTGCAGGTGAGAGCCTGTAGGGGTTGGGGATTATCACATGAGAATCATAGGACTGAGTAATGAGCTGTTTGGTTTGTTTCTCCTCACTGTCTCTGTTGGTTGGCAGGAGCTGGTGTCCGTGGGCCTTGGAGACAGTAGGACGGGTGAGATGACAGTCCTGGGACACATAAAGCACAAACTTGTATGTTCCCCCGATTTTGAGTCCCTCTTGGATCACAAACACCGGTAAAATGAGCAGATGGAGGATGATGGTGACTGTGCCCACGGCTGCTGCCTGCTCCAGACGTTTTGTTCTCAAATCTGTGCGACCCAGAAGGGGCCTGTTTAGCCCACCCACTCCAGCCTTTGGCGGCCATTGTCCCAGTTTTCCCCATAGGGCCCACGTGGCTCCCTCCCACAGCAGCTGTGAATGGCACAGTGGCCTTCCCACAGCATGGATCCTGCACATCCTCGATGCTGGGGGGCTTGTCCCTTCTATTTATTTTTGTATTTATGTCTTATCTCTTCAAATGACTGCACCCTCCCCTGGTAGAGAGGGGAGGGTCTGTGGGAAAGCCCAGTCTCCTTCTCTTGCTGACTGTCTTGTTCTCAGGGTAGGAAGCGTAAAGACTGCTGCTGCTTTTGCTCCCTCCTCCTTCCCAAGAAACAGTGTTGGAGAGAGAGCAGGGAATTTTTGAGTCTGGGACTCAGTGTGCAGTCCCAGTTCCATCAGTTACTAGCTGTGTGACCTTGGACAAACTACCTAACCTTTCTGAGCCTCATACTCCTCATAGGACAAAAATGAGGATAATACCTACCTCACAGGGTTGGTGTGAGGATTAAATGGAATGTTGTAGATGAAAATTCCTTGCACAAGGCCAGATATACACAGTAGGCACTCAATAAATGTTAGTTTCCCTTCCCTTTGCCTGAGTCTGTTTTCAAACAAAATAGAGGTTTCAAGAATCTCTTGAGAGAAGTGAATAGAGCTGCTGTATCTCTGCCTTCTTGCTGCACCTCCCATCCCCCCCTAGGCCCTGAGGCTCTCAAGGTATAGGTTCAGGCCCTTCTCTGCCCATTTTCTCCTGAGCAGTTAAGTGCTGCCTGTTCACTGTGGTGAGTTGCAAGCCAAAGGTTCTACCAGAGGTGAAGTCAGAGACTCCTCCCAGCTCTCTACACTTGCCTTTGGGTGGCATCATGGTCCCGGGACTCCTTCCTTCTATCCCTCAACTCCTCTCCCCTATCCCCCCAACTCCTCCAATAAGTAGCAGTACTCTTTTGACTTCCATTTAAATATTTCCCAACAGAATCCTGTGACCACTCAGAATTATAACCACACTCAAATACTGCTGAAGAACAACCTCTGATAAGAGAAATTAGGATTTATTGGAGAGCCGCCTCTTTGACACTTGACAGATGACCTCCCACTTCAAAGCTTTGAATTTGAGAGGCCCCCCTCTACCTCCTGTCCTACCGTCACCAGATCTGCATCTCAATCCCAGCTGGCCACAATGGCCTTTGAGTTCATGGGTCTGTGATCTTGTTTCTTGTACCAGGTCATTACACTCTTGAACCTTCCAGTGTAGTTTCTGGAGGAGCAGCTTCTCTTCCCTTGTCCACAGGCTGGGTTTTTTCCCTGGTTCAGTGGTAGGAGACATCTTTGGGATTAGGGAAGGCTGCTCGCAGCAGTGTCTGTGGTTGTTAGATGCTGATGTCACAGCTCCCTGTTCACTGTAGTGAGGTGCTAGCTATAGGCTATACCAGAGGTAAAGTCAGAGACTCCTTCCAGCACCCTACAGTTACCCTTGGGTGACATCATGGTCCCAAGTTGAGAGCTTAGCCAACCACCTCTGGAACAGCGATGGACCACACAGGCTCATAAGAGTGCCTCCTCCTGACTTTTAGGTGGTCCCAGAGGTTTTGGATGGATATACATTCCTTTGGTCTCACCTTTCTGTCCCTCAAGTCTGTTTTTTATTCATGACAGCTGGGGTTTTCCTGTCCTGAGCCCCTCAAACTGCCTAGCCAGCAGGTATGAGGGGTGATTGAACATTGCCCCTTCTGTAGCTAAGAGGTCACATGAGCTCTGTTGGTAGTGTTGCTCTGGTGTCTTCATTATAAGGGACAGAAGTCTTCTGTGGAGGCATATACCATGAAAGTTCTGTTTTGTCTAACGCTGAGTTTTTGTTCTCTGGGCTTCAGTGCTGTCTTTTAGATAGCTAATGCACTGCTAGTGGGCCTCTTGTAATTCTCTGTTTCTCTTCTGTTTCTTTGGTTCAAAAAATCTTCTGCTTTTTTGGGCTAACTCAAAGGCCCTGCCTCCTTAGCTGTTTGGTGTCTTGCAGTCTTTAGCTCTTTGACTTCTAAGAAAGCTTGAGGAAGAGTGTGTACCACTTTCACATTATTCATTTCAAGTATCTTAGCGATTGAATATTATGATCCTGCATCAGAGTCCCCATGACCTGTCTCTATGTCCCTGGTGTACAGATTGGAGGTCATCAGTGAAAGTGTAGAAAAAGATGAAGCAAGTTTATTTTTTAATTTTAGAGAGCATGTGCAAGTGAGGGAGAGGGGCAGGGAGAGAGGGAGAATCCCAAGCAGACTCCACACTCAGTGCAGAGCCCGACACAGGCCCAATCCCATGACCCTGGGATCATGACCTGAGCTGAAATCAAGAGTGGGACGCTCAACCAACTGAGCCACCCAGGCACGCCAGGTCTACTTTCTTTAAAAAAAATTTTTTTTTTAAATGTTTATTTATTTTTGAGAGAGTGCTAGCCGGGGAAGGAGAGAGAGAGAGGGAGACACAGGATCCCAAGCAGGCTCCAGGCTCTGAGCTGTCAGCACAGAGCCCAACATGGGGCTTGAACCCACGAACTGTGAGGTCATGACCTGAGCCAAAGTCAGACATTTAACCGACTAAGCCACCCAGGCGCCCCCCCAAGTCTACTTTCTTGACCAAGCCTCTGAAGTATACATTTCTACCAAGAAATACATGCAAATAAGGAGAGTAAAAAGCCTAGAGTCCAGTTCATAGGTGTGAGTGCAAATGCATGCAAATTTATTACTACCTGCATCTGCGTGTAGGCATTTTGTTACGATTCTAAAAGAGAGAGCTATAGACTTGTTCATTTTTTAACTGTAAGTGACACAGTGTAGGCTTTAGAGTCAGGGTTGGGTTTTAATTCAGTTCCACCAGTAACTTTGGGGAAAATTGGTTACCCTTCCTAAGTTCAGTTTTACTCGCGCTCTATAAAAATGAGGTCATAGTAGACTTTTAATAGGGTTGTTTTTCAATTAGAGTGAACGTAAAGCGTTTATTTGTATATGTGCTGCTGAAGCGAGCACCATAAAGCATTTATTTGTTGCCAGACAGAAAAGTGTTTCTTGCAGAATGAGATTGGCACAAGTGTGACAGGAAACTGGGTGGACAGTGACATAAGCAATAAGGATGTTATCACCTGTAAGGAGAAGTCTAGAGATAAATGGCTCCAGACTTGGGCGGCAGCCAAAACGTTATCAAGATTTTTCTTAGATCCTTTGGTTTTGCTAGCCTCAGTACTGCAAAGTGGCTGCTACACAATGTCATTTCTTCAAATAACCGTCCAAAGACACAGCAAGAAGCAACGTAAACAGCAGTAAAGGAACTTTCTCCTCATTATGCTCTTAGGGAGGAAGTTCCTTCAGAGGCCCAAAGAGACTTGCCCCTGTGTCTCTGACAGCTGGGCCACATAACTACCCTAGGATGGGGCACTGACCAAGAGGGATGGGTAGATCAGTTTGTCTCCTGGCCTTTGGCATCCTGTTACCTGAGACAGAGTTTTGTTAGTAGGGAAAAAACAGCAATGATAGAGTTGAAGTATATCTAGGTAGAATTTTTTAAATGTTTAATTACCTTTTCTTCTAAATAAACCAGTTTTAACATTTTAGTACACGCTCTTTCAGACTCTAAAATTGTGTATATTCTGGATGATGATATAAACATTATACTGTCTTATGTGCATTATCTTGCTTGAAAGTATATATAGTTCTTTGTTTTTTTTTTTTTTTTTTTTTTTTTTAATAGTTCTTTGTTAATGAACATCTTTTACTTAAGATACGTCTGAGGTAGGGGAGCCTGGGAGGCTCTGTCAGTTAAGTGTCCGACTTCGCTCAGATCATGGTCTCATGGTTTGTGAGTTCATGGTTCTCTGCTCTCAGCGTGGAACCCACTTCAGATCCTGTGTCCCCTCTTTCTCTGCCCCTCCCCTGCTCGTGCTTTCTCTCTCTCTCTCAAAAATAAATAAACATTAAAAAAAAAAAAGATATGCCTGAGCTAGCTGAACGAATTAAAGACAGGATCTTTTAATCCTAGACTACCCCTATGGTCCAGTTGAACTGATCACTTAACACTTGGCTCTTTAAAGGAAAAGAGGCTTAATTCTAAGGTATTATGCACAATTGCCTGTTCATCCTGTGCTTCCACCGCCATCCTAGTGCAAGACACTCACGGTTTGGGCTTTTGCCCTCTTCAGATGGCTGTAGCTAATGACAGATGTGGTATTAACAGCTCCTCTTGGACATGGTTCAGCTGCCAAAGTTCTCCAATAGAGGACAGGGACTGGAGTGCAGCTGGGTCTCAGGGTTATCCTCAGAAAAAATGGAGAGAGAATGCCAACTCTAGTAACTCCCTGTGTGGCCAACTTATGACTTCACTTTTCTGAAGCATTTCTTTCCTTCCCTTGTATTAGAGCAGTCATGAGTCCAACTCCACACGAACTGAAGCAGGGGTTGGGCTTTCTTCTGTTTGTCTCATTTACATCTAAGATCTAGTCAGAAAAAATGTAGTCCTGATCATCATTGGCCTGACAACTGTATCTTGTGTGTTTTTCAGGGTTCAGTGGAAAAATAAAAACCATTCCAATTATTCTTTTTCCAATTTTTAGTTAATCTACAATACAATATTAGTTTCAAGAGTAGGATTCAGTGATTCATCACTTCCATACAACACCCAGTGCTCATCATAACAAGTGCCCTCTTTAATACCCATCACCCATCTAGTTCATCCCCTACCCACTTCCCTCTATCAACTCTTGGTTTGTTCTCTATCTGTAGGAGTCTTGTGGTTTGTTTCCCTCTTTCTTACCCCCCTCCGCCCTTATGTTCATCTGTTTTCTTTCTTAGATTCCATGTATGAGTGAAATCATATGGTATTTGTCTTTCTCTGATTTATTTCACTTAGCATAATGTACTCTAGCTCCATCTATGTCATTGCAGATGGCAAGTTTTCATTCTTTTTGATGGCTGAGTAACATTCCATTGCATATTTACACCACGTTTTCTTTATCCATTCATCAGTCGATGGACATTTGGGCTCTCTTTTGGCTATTGTAGATAATGCTGTAGATAAACATCAGGGTGCATGTACCCCTTAGAATCTGTATTTTTGTATCCTTTGGGTGAATACCTAGTAGTAGTGCAATTGCTGGATTGTAGAGTAGTTCTATTTTTAACTTTATGAGGAACCTCCATACTGTTCTTCAGAGTGGCTGCACCAATTTACATTCCCACCAACAGTGTAAGAGAATTCTCCTTTTTCTGTATCCTCACCAACACCTGTTGTTTCTTTTGTTGTTAATTTTAGCCATTCTGACCAGTGTGAGATGGTATCTCATCTTGGTTTTGATTTGTATTTCCCTGATGAGTGATGTTGAACATCTTTTCGTGTGTCTGTTGGCCATCCGGATGTCTTCTTTGGAAGAGTGTCTGTTCATGTGTTCTTCCCATTTCTTAACTGGATTATTTGTTTTTTGGGTGTTGAGTTTGCTAAGTTCTTTATAGATTTTGGATACTAACCCTTTATCAGATATGTCATTTGCAAATATCTTCTCCCATTCTGTAGCCTACCTTTTAGTTTTGTTGATTGTTTCCTTTGCTGTGCAGAA